GGCAGCGCCACATCAGCATGCAATGTAGACCAGAGGCAGCGCCACATCAGCAATGTAGACCAGTGGCAGCGCCGCATCAGCATGCAATGTAGACCAGAGACAGCGCCACATCAGCAATGTAGACCAGTGGCAGCGCCACATCAGCATGCAATGTAGACCAGAGGCAGCNGCATCAGCATGCAATGTAGACCAGAGACAGCGCCACATCAGCAATGTAGACCAGTGGCAGCGCCACATCAGCATGCAATGTAGACCAGAGGCAGCTTCAGATTAGCAACGTCTGGCGCATAATGCAGAACGCGCCAGCATGCCGTCACAGTCCGCGTCGTCGTCCACAGTGCCTGCGCACAGCCAGAGTCAGGCCAACGTCTCGCCAGCGTCGTGCCAGCATCAATGCCAGCGTGTGGTCGAAGTCGAGCCAGCGTCCAAGCAGCATAGCAAGACTGAATGTTGACCACTCGGAGACCAGCCCTTAAGTAGCATTTGACGAGGCTGTCTGGTCCAGGTCCTTCCCCCACAGTCGTCCAGATTGACGCACAGCCGAGGGCCTGGATTGTGTACAGTTGCAGACTTCCCTTTGGACCTGATGCTGTCTGGGTACCTGCATACAAACGAGTGTGTGTGCCTGACCGACGGCCTAGGCTGGGTACCTTTGGACTTGACTGTTGGTGTTACAACAGTTGACTAAAGTCAACTGTCACACGTCCAGGCCCTGAATCCCCGTTTTCGGCCTGGGCTGAGGTCGGCCAGGTAGGCCCTCGGATATTCCACGAGACATATGGCATGGGTTATTGCATTCCTGCCGGCACAGTTTTCGAGTTCCATCGCAGAAAATACATCAACTGTCACTTAACCCACGTTCATATGCAGCAACAATGTGAGGAGCGGTAGGTAGGAGTTCTTTCCTACTAAACCATCGGGCTTCAGATGAAGGTTGGGACTTGAACTTTACCTTATACTGCTTCTGAGGTCTTCCTCTGCCACCTGTAGAAAAATAGCTATGTTCCAGTATCTTTTGAACTTCATAACCTCCATATATAGAGGGTGGAAACATAGATGCTCTATTTGGAAAGTTATCACCTTCTACACAGTGTAGCAGCTTAGATGCATGGAAGACAGGGTATGTCCTTAGGTGTGGAGGTACATCTATGCGGTAGGAAGGTTCATCTTAACCTTTTCTTTTTTCTTTGGTTTCTCGACTTCTTTCACCGGTTCTTCTTTCTTCTCAGTGGGTGATCCCTTCTTCTCTTCCGGTTCCTCATATTCTTTCTTCGAGGGTCCGGGTCTTTCCATTGTTACTTTCTTCATTGCATCTTTCAACAACTTGTCCTGGGGTCCTATCTTTTCTTTACCCTTGGCCTCTTCCTCAACTGACATCTGTCCTAATCTCGTCATTGCTTCGAAAGCAACAGTGCTTTGATCAATCTTTATTTCTAAGTGTGCCAGATAGGCCATCAAGTTGTGAAGGACAGATTCAAGGTCATTGTCAGACTGTCAGTTTCTTCAAAGTGAAATTGTTGTTTAATTTCTTCTATCTTTCTTTCTTGCTGTTCTTTTCTTTTTTTTTTACTCTTCGGTACTCATCCATCCTTTGTTTTCCGCGTTCATCCAATTGTCTAATGTTTGCCAGCATTGCATCCTCATTCCGTTCTGGCATTCTTACTGCTTCCCTTCTTTCTTCTTTTACTTCCCGTTCTTCTTTTGGCTCGCCTGCAGCAATCTCCGCCAGCTCCTTGGCGACATATTGATCAAGGGTAATTCGACCCTGATTAATAGTCCGCTGCACCCTCACACTGGCTTCCATCATCTGAACAACCGTTTCAGCCTCTTTCGGTTCGGTTTCTGCAGCACGCAGATCGAACTGGCTGCGTACGTGCTGTTCAGCCATGGCTCCAGCGTCGTGCAGCTCATTCAGTAGCCGTTGAATACGGCTCAGCATCAGCTGCCGTCTGGCTTCAATTTGCCCACGTGTTTGGACTGCACCCTCCTCGTCAGCGAAGAAGGTGAAAGAGACAGGTAAGAGGAAGTACGGGATGAAACGAGTCAAGATGGAGAAACGCAGAGAGTTCCAAAGGTAAGAGATCTTCACTGATGTTTGTACCACACAATAAATAATAACAAATCAGTAATAAATTCCACGGTCACACCGGTTTTCAACTATCTAACAGCAAGAAATAAACAACAATTCAGAAAACAGAAATCAATCAATTCTTGATCTAACCTCAGCTGTCTATTCTATGTGTAATGACGTTCTACAGCAAGTTTACAGGTACCGCAGCCACGGCCAGTGTAATCAAGACAACAGCACACTCATGAGTATACACCAACCACAGAACAACCACAGGTAAGTGAGTCAGCCAACACAAAAACACAATCGATGGTTAGCTTTCCTTCCCTACGGCTGTAGCACCTGCAGAAGCAATGCAATACTTCACCCTCAGCGACGTAAATGCATGCCACGTGTCACCCCTAGCATGCCAACACAGCAGTTCTGCCACATCAGCGTCAAGGACCGTAAGGTCTACGAGGGGGGGGTGCCACGTCAGCAGTGCATGTCTGCGACACATTCAACACTGGTAAGCATAAAGCGCTTCAACAGCAGGCAATCGCAACACAGGTACGTGCCACGTCAGACCATGCCCTGCCAGAATACCACATCAGCGGTCCCATTCTCTCTCTTAACCAGCGCCACATCAGCCTGTTGCCAGTGTTACGATTTTGACTAAAGTCAACTGTCACACGTCCAGGCCCTGAATCCCCGTTTTCGGCCTGGGCTGAGGGCGGCCAGGTAGGCCCTCAGATATTCCACGAGACATATGGCATGGCTTATTGCAACTGGACCTACTGGTGGTTTGAACATGCGTAGCGTAGCAAGATAGGGTGATGAATGTTGGAAAGGGTAGTAGGCTGTTGGATGCACTGTGGTCACAAAGGGCGATGTAATACAAGCCTTCCCCTCAAACATGTTTCCGGAAGACTGCCGCCTGTCACTGGAACACCAGCCTTTCCCTCGAACACGCTTCCGGAAGAACCCCCCTAGCACAGCCTGGTGATGTCAAAAAAAAAAAAAAAAAGTGGTCAGGTACATCCAGGTCTGGCAGCAAATGCGGTGAGATATATTGAAGATAGTGCTAGTGTGAATACACCCTTACACGTGTGTACCGCCCAACCAGGCACCTGCATCATAGCTGGCATCTCAATGATCTCATTTGTTGACGACTGTTGTTTTTGTTTTTGTTTTTGTTTTTGTTGTTGTTGTTTTTGTCGTTGTTTTTGTTGTGGTTGTGGTTGGGGTTGGGGTTGGGGTTGAGGTTGTGGTTGGGGTTGCGGTTGGGGTTATTGTGGTTGGGGTTGGGGTTGGGGTTGTTGTGGTTGGGGTTGGGGCTGGGGTTGTTGTGGTTGGAGTTGGGGTTGCTGCGGTTGGGGTCGGGGTTGGGGTTGGGGTTGTTGTTGTTGTTGTTGTGGGTGTTGTGGTGGTTGCGGTGTATTTTGGTGGTGGTGGTGGTGGTTGGGCTTGGGGTTGCTGCGGTTGGGGTCGGGGTTGGGGTTGGGGTTGGGGTTGGGGTTTTTGTGGTTGAGGTTGTGGTTGTGGTTGCGGTTGTGGTGGATTGTGGTGGTGGTGGTAGTGGTGGTTGTGGTTGTGGTTGGGATTGTTGTTGTTGTGGTTGTTGTTTTTGCCTTTCCTGGTTGCTTGTGATTTGCAGAAGCTCTTGTCCTCTGTGTATGATAGAGATGGCTTGGGACTTGATGGTGCTGGCGATCCTGGAATGTCGCCACCGTCTGTAATGCCTACAATGCCCACAGTTAGCTGCCCATGAGACCTGCTTGCACTCGGCGTGTCGGTGAGTCCAACTCCTCCTCCGACTCTTTTACCTCCTTGCCGCTTAAACGTGGATATATTTTGTAACTGTTGCATCTCCTCGCGGAAACAAAACGAGTAGTTTGGATCTGGAGCTGTCAAGGTCTAACAGCTTGTACTCTGTTCTGTTCATCCGATTGCGTCTGCATTCGAACTTGGGTCTGTATTTCAACAATTCATGAGTGTGCCCACTCAATTATTATTGGAAATAAATTCAAATAATTCATTTCAATGATTTGCTTGTTTCATTTGGTTCTTGAGTCGTTGGCACAGTTGGAACTTCTTTTTCTTTTTTTAAATTTAAATAGAGTTGAAGCTTCTTCTCGAGGAGTCCTTTCCCTCTGCCAATAGCTGATTCCTGCCATGTAAAGGGAGATTTTCTCCCTCCCCCTCCCCCCCCGGCTGCAATTCGCATTGAGTATCGGATTTCGCTGCGCTCTTCATCGTTGCAAGGGCCAAGTTATTTGTTTGTCCATCGCGAATTCAAAGGGAATTCATTCTAATCACAGGTCACCGTGGCTCTTGCATGCTCCATCCTCAACAGGCAAGCGGCTACGAAAAAGTATGGGCCTAGCTCAGTGGGCACACTCATGAACTGTTGAAATACAGACCTGAGTTCAAATCCCAAGTCAAATCACTGACGGATGAGTAACTCGGCATTTACCTGGGACCGTCAGTTTGAAGATGTGATGGGTTACACGGTTACACCACACCTCCTTGGAGCAGCTGCCCTTATCACCCATAGAAAGGAGCCATCTCAACTTGGGCACTGCTCAGAGAGGCTGGCCGTATCACCCACCTCCTTGGAGAAGCTCCCCCTTTTATAATGTTTTTAAAAAAAGACTTGTCATGATTGCGCATGGGTCATTCTGTATCGGTCGAGTTTTAACGGATGTTCCGAAGGACAGCTGCATTCGTTGAAGCTGGAGCGATACCGAATGGCCCATGCACGTGCACGTGCATGTGGTGGGTTACACGTCACATGCACGTGCATGGGGCATTCTGTATCGCTCCAGTTTCAGCGAATGTGGTTGCATGGTCCAGGTCTGCATGTAACACATCACATGCACGTGCATGGGGCATTCTGTATCGCTCCAGTTTCACGTGCATGTGATGAGTTACATGCAGACCGCACGAGCTTCACAGAGTGTGAGGTGGCTTGGCTGTTTTATGGGCGACAGCTCTGCTCTAGATCCTGAGGCATCCTGCGGCATCAAGTTAGGTAGCTTGATGCGATTTTTTTTTTTTTTT